TGATAAAAGAGATCAAATTCTTCCTCTGATCTTTGCCTCTCTAAAAAATGCTTTGCTGCATTAATTGCAGTAGCAGCCTCTTGAGCATTGATGTCTTTGTACTGCAATGTAGTGGCAACCTGTTCTGTTGCACTAAACAAAAGATGAGATAACATTAAACCATAGAAGGTAGAAAACTGCTCCATCATTACTGCATTACCAACTGCTCTGGCTGATGTTTCATAATGTGACTCACCAATTCTATGAAGTTCCTCTATAACTGCACTGTAGTTATCTAAGACAGCAGCAATAGCTACAGTACGTACTGTCCATCTCGTTGGACATAGTGGGTTTAGATCTGGAGAATTAGGACAAAGTTCCTTCTGTACTGTCTTGAAACTTGCCAACCGTTTCGGTCAGTTACGGATAATATTTGATATCTCCATGACAAGCCCAAGAGCATCTCTAAAGCCCAACATACACTATGCAACATTTGTTGCAAACAAAATGTTGCAAGCAACATGTTGCACACAATACCCTGCATACACTATGCAACACTGTTGCAACCAAAAAGTTAATAAGTCTGTAAAAATGGCTGATCAAGATGCATGTGCAGCAATAATAATAGCAACTTTGGTGGCAAGGAGACGAAGAAGAAGAAGGGACAGACGGGTATGGACTAGACAATAGATAGTTAATCGCCCTTGTCATGGAGCATATCACCAACTACTGAAAGAGCTGCAGATTGGAGACCAGGTGTCATACAGGCACTTTTTGAGAATGGACATCAACTCTTTTGAGTATTTATTGACCTTAGTTGCTCCAAAGATAAGACGTAGGGACACTCACATGAGAAAATCCATTAGTCCTGGGGAACGTCTAGCATTAACATTGCGCTTTTTGGCAACAGGTACATTATATATGTTACATGCTAACTCTAATTTTACCATAGGGGAGTCATACAGCAGTCTACAGTATTTGTATAGAGTTCCATGTCAAACAATAGGCAAAATTGTAATTGAAACTTGTGAAGCCATTGTAGAAGTACTTGCAGATTATATGAAGGTATTATAATTATTATTATTAGTCCATTACAAAAAGGTCAATCATAATGGTAATGAATAACAGATCAATGAACAGCTAGTATTTTGTTGAATGTATATGTGACCATAATTGACAAAAGGTACCTTATGGCGGGTAGTGAAATTTGTCTTTCTAGCCTAAGAAATTCAACTTCCTGAGCTCCATTTATCATACAATTACTCCACAGGATGCAAAAAGTTACCATGAAACTTTTAGAAACAATGATTATCTAACAAAGCAATCACAGGTTGATATTTTCCATTAAAACTATCAATTTTAAAATCCGCCATAAGGGCCCTTTTGTCAATTATGGTCACATATTGTGTGCATCAGTCGTGCACTGAACTATCAGTTTCACTAATATTACTTGATGGTATAAATGGAGGAGAAAAAGCTTGCACTGAACTACTAGGGCTTGCTCCACATTGATAAGGACTGCTATATTGGTTAAAAGGAGGCCACGGTCCAGTTGTACCATAGTTTAAACCCTCGTAAAGAACATTTTGAATCTTCCACTTTGTCATTCTTTTTACTCTTGAATCTTTTATTTCCTGCAATTCTGAAGCAATAAAGTCAGCAAAGACTTGATCTATATCTCTATCTTTACTATCGTTTCTTCCTTTTTCAAGACAAGAAATGGCTTTTTCTAGCAGCAAATCTTCCTGTGCTTCTCTTTTTCTTTTTTTTGTCTGCTTTTCTTTTGCAATGTTGAAGGATGATGATGCTGGCTTTTCTTTGTCCTCAATGTCTTGTGGTTCCTGTTCCTCTGCCATTTCAGTTAAATTATTGTCGTTATCACTTTCATCATTATGATCACTCTCAGTATCCTAAATAATTTCAGAGAAAAATGTAATTCTGCTATGTGTAGTAATAATTTATAATTACTATGTATTCATTATTTTAATATAGGTTCCAAAAACACAGTCTGAATGGAAGGAGATTGCAATCGAATTTGATCAAAAGTGGAATTTTCTACACTGCCTAGGTGCATTAGATGGAAAACATATCAATATCAGACCTCCACCTTCAAGTGGATCATATTATTACAATTATAAGCAAAGATTTAGTATTGTTTTTCTGGCATTGGTTGATGCTAACTATAAATTTTTGTATGTAGACATCGGATGCAATGGAAGAGTTTCTGATGGAGGTGTCTTTAGAGAGAGCTCATTGTCGTCAGCATTTCAGAATAATACATTGGATGTACCTCCTCTGGAAGTATTACCTGGCTGCACTACACCTATTCCATACATAATTGTTGCAGATGAAGCATTTCCCTTAAAAGATTACATTCAAAAACCTTATCGACAAACTGGATTAACTACAGAAAGAAGAATCTACAATTACCGACTTAGTCGTGCGAGGCGAGTTGTGGAAAATGCTTTTGGTATCTTGGCTAACCATTTCAGAGTTCTCATGACTGCTATCAATCTAGCCCCAGAAAAAGTGGAAACTTTAACATTGACATGTTGTCTTTTGCACAACTACTTGAGATGTCACACTGAAGCCTACACTCCTCCAGGTAGTCTTGATACGGAGCATCTCTTGTCTCATGCAGTACAACCAGGAAAATGGAGAAGTGAGCCAAAGAGTCTTACAAATTTAAAGAAGCAAGGAAGCAACCACAGCAAAGAAACAGCAAAGCTTTATCGTGAATATATGAAGGACTATTTAAACTCATCAGTTGGATCAGTTCCTTGGCAGAATAATATGATATAAAAGTGCATTATTTTATGTACCAATAGATAATGTGTATATAGCAATAATAATGATAATAGTGAATAATAGTAATAATAACAATGCACTTAGGAAATTTGATAAAATTAATATTTTACCTTTAATAGATTAGATTTAGTCTTTCTTGCTGAAATGTAATCGTCAAGAAACTGTAATTGTTTGAAATGTGGCCATTTCGGTTCGTACACATCATCACTCCCTGTGTCAGTGGGTCTCTTCTTAAACTTCTGCCTTTCCCGGCAATATTGTGTTCTAATACTTCTTATTTTTTTAAGAACCTCTACCTCTACAAATTATAGTTTTAGAC